CAAGGAAAGGGCTGTAGACTCCACCTCTTATGGGAAGGGTGTCAAATAACTCTGGGGCCACGTTTTAAAATCACCAAAGGCAGCTACTCTGTAAATTAACTCAACTTTCAATGACCCCAATCACTCAGTCCCCCAACTTGACTCGCTAATGCCCAGAAGGAATCAGAAGAGCCAAGAGAGCAGAACAGATTGGATAAGGTGTGAACGTGTTTCTCAATGATAGCAGCTATCACATTTTTGAGGCACAGAAGAGCTAAGTGACTTGTCCAAAGCCAGAGGAAGTGGGTAGTGGCACCAGGAGTTGGATCCATGTCTTTCTGATTCGAGAACTCAACCTCGTGGAGGCTGTTGTACTTTCTCCCCAGTTGGGGTTCAAGCACTGTCATTCCAGTGGTCAATTTGTACCATATATCTGGATATAGCTCTTCTCCCAGAGGCCCTGAGTCAGGAGGACAGGGGCCCTAGCTGGGCCCGCCCCCAGGCAGGGGAAGAGGAACCCTGGCCATATGGTGGCTTCCTCCCAGGTCCTCTGCTCTCATGGCTGTATGCCATCCAGCTTGGCTGGTGAGGAGGTCACCCCTTTGGTGAATGCAGAAAGACATGAACAACTGGTAATGACCCCAGCATAAAGGAGCTGGGCATTTGGTTGTTTACTGGGAGCTTGAGATGGCTGTAAGATGACGTGAATATATTTTAGAAACTAGTTTTCATATTTTAAAAGTTAAACTGACACCTAATAAAAATACATCATACAACATAGAAAGGTATAAAGAGAAAAGTAAAAGCATCTTATTCCTGCCACCAACTCCAAAGCCCCAGCCCATCACCAGCTCCATTTGCTGTGTCCAGTGTCTTCGTCAGGAAATGCCGCATCGGTGTGACTAGTGTTCACCACACAATCTCCCAGGGTGCCGTCATATAGCGCCTCAACCCGACTCACTCTGAACAAATTCCTTCCTGATTTTGCCATCACAGATGTCTGGCCATGAAGAGCGCTGCGTGTATTTTTGTGTACTTGTATGAGTGCATCTGGAGAAGGCAGGTATTTTACTGAAGATGAAAACTGAGGTCGAAATACGTGCAAGAAGGGAAGATTATCTGACTCTTTGGTAGAATGATTACAAAAATGGTCCTAATTTTCTACCCCTCACTGTCCCTGTGCCCTTGTAAAGTGACCGTGCAGTCCTCCCACCCAGAGGAACGCGTTCCTTTTCCCACATCTTGACTCTGGGCTGGCCTGTGACTTGCTTTGGCCAACGGAACACTGTTAAGTGATGCTCCACTTCTGAGACTGGACTCTGTGAAGCTCGGGCACTTGTGGTCACTCTCTTGGAAACCTGCTCAGTGGCCATCTGAAGAAGCCTAGGCTATCCTGTTGGGGCCAGGGAGACCACGTGGAGTGCAGCCAAGCTGTCTGACCAAGACCATCCTAGACTAGCCAGCCTTCATTTGACCAACTGACGACGGACATAGGAGTCAGCCCAGCCACGATTAGCCAATGGACATAGCGAGCACAGCCTCGAGGCATAGCTGACCACGGGCAGACAAGGGAGTGAGCCCACCAGGAGTCCAGAGCCCCCAGTCAACCTGCATATTTGTGGGCAAAATAAATCCTCAGTGATTTAAGCCATGGTTTTGAGGTTGTCCAACTTCAGATAACACAGAAGAATGCAGCGTTATTCTGACAGCTGGTAACTGATAGAGCCTTTTGTATTCACAGTCATCGTGGTAAAGATGTGAAGGTCAAGGCTGCCATAGCAAATCCTGGCTTATGGAAGTTTTTTATAAATCATCAGATAATCCATATTCAAGAAAAATGAGACTAGTTTAGAGAAAAACACTCTACAGCTGTCTCAGCATAACGCAGCAGCAGTAACGCGTTCTGTAAATGGTTCAGACTTACCAGCTTCCCCAGGTCTTGGTTCCTCATCTGTAAAAGCGGGCTGACTTACAGCAAGAGCCTAGCAAATTATACAATTATACAAATTAAACAATGCTACTGTTGTTACTATTAACAAACCAGTGATGCGACAAGCTGATCATTCTTGTTTTTCATGAGGACATGACACAACCCAAAGATCCTTAATTTTGTTTTGGTTGGGGAGTCTCATCCACACCTTTGACAATCTGACGAAGCCTGTAGCCCCTTTCTCAGAATGTTTTAAAATTCAGACAATAAAATAAATTACAAAGGAAACCAATTACGTTGAAATACAGTTCTCCAAATGTTAGAGCAGACGTATGAACTAGTAATACATGCATCTCTTTACTAATGCATTATATAAAATCTATCAGATTTCATATACATAAAAGTTTATATTACATAAAAGCTATCTGTCATTTCTCACTGCCCCTTTCTTCCCATGAAAAAGATGGCTTCTGCTAAGCAGCCCTGGGTCCAGCCCTCCCTGCAGGCTTTGGGGAGGCCCTTTCTATTACTCCTCTTTTCTCATCACTTCTTTGCTCTCCTATCTTTTATCCCCTACCTCCCTTCTCCCTCATCAGCTTTCCTCTCTCAAGCCAGAGAGAGGACAGCACCTGCCCCACTGACCTGGAAGATGGATGTTTTGGCCTCCCAGAAATGGCTTCCTTCTCTCCTCCGAGGCTCAGCCAGTCTGCCTTGGGAGCAGAAAGCAGGAGGCCTCCTGAAATCACCTGTGATGATTCTATGGACTCACAGGCTGGAAGCCAAACCTTCCTTTCAGTAAGGACTCATGCATGTCAGGTTTTGTTCACTTTTTAGCTAAAAAAACCTTAATTCATTCCAGGATTCAGATGGGGCTGTCAACTCGGAGCCAACCTCAGTGCCTGCGTGGTGGGAGGCGTGAGGAAACCACACCGGTCTCCAACCTCCCCAGTGCTTGCAGGACGGGGCGGAGGAGGAGGGGACACACATCAAAGCCCAGAGGTCGGCCATCACCCTTCTGCTCGGGTTACCATCCTTCTTCAGAAACCAGCGGGTGTGGGAAAAGTAAAAGGCTGAACTTTTTCTCACCCCTAACCCACTTTGAACATCTTTCATAATCACTGTGCTTTCCCCCCAGCTTCTGAGGCTTCAGCTTCAACTGCTGTCTCAAAAAAAGTTCGTTTTCTCATCTTGGGCTACAGGTTTCACCATCTGTTTGCTCTTCAGATGTGTGTGGGTGGCAAGAGATTTTTCCCACGCATCTTCAAACTGAAAGGGCTGACCTTGCTGTAAGGAGCCTTCTCAATCCCCTGGGAGTCTCTGCATCCTCAGCCCTCACCCAGCAGACATGGCAGGGAGGGGCGGGACACCTCTATGTGCCACAGAGTCTGAGGACACTGAACTGGGCCGGATTACCTGGAATCAACTGTGGGGCTTGGAAATCCTCCAGCAAAGACTTGGGTCACCTTGAGTTGCTCTGCAGTTTAGCGGGGTGGGCTGAGGTGGAATGGAGGATTTTGACATGGAGGTCCCCAGATACCAGCCCCAGATTGGCAGGACACACATCTGTGTGTTTCTCAACTGTTTCTTGTTCTAGTCCCCAGCCCATGAGGCCACGAAGCCTCAGGAAGAACTGTTGTATTAAAAAAGAAACTCTGGCTGTCATTTGGGGAAGCTGGACTATCTGCCATTATGTCAACCTGGTTACTAGACAGAGACTTGATTTGAGGGCACCTTTTTATTTTTTTGAGACAGGCCCTCACTCTGTCACCCATGGAGTGGCACAATCTTGGCTCACTGCAGCCTCTACCAAGTTGGGACTATAGACATGCACCACCACACCTGGCTAATTAAAGAAAAATAATGTAGAGACAGGGTCTCACTATATTGCCCAGGTGGTCTCGAATCCCTGGGCTCAAGCAATCCTCCCGGCTTGGACTCCCAGTATTGGGATTACAGGCATGAGCCACCTCACCCAACCCAAGGACACCTTTGACATGAGAGGGAGTGCAGGAGGTGGAACTAAGTGACCAGCTGTCATCGCCCACATCTCCTGCAGGCCTGCCCTTTCCCTTCTCTGCCACTGAAGTATTTCAGGAGCCTCTGTTCCCAGCAGAATTGGTTGCCAATGGGAATGCTGATGACTTTTTGGCTGACCCAGGGCACTGTGAGGTGCCTGAGGTCAACTGACCTGTGAGGTCAATTCAGCATTTTTTGAGTCCTTTCCCGTCTGACATGTTGCTCGATGCTGTGGTGGGGAGGAAAGGGAGGAGGGGGATGAAGATAAAGATGAAGGCGACAGTGTCCCTTGCCCTTGGGAGAGAACCAGAGTTACAGAAAATGTGACTTCTTCAATGGAATAACAGATTTAAAAAAGAGGCCAAATGAAAGTCTGGCAGCAGGGGAGGACTGGAGGAGGAAGGGCAGTGAAGGAGTGGTGTGGGGAGGTGTTCTTTTGGGGTGCAGAGCACTCCAGGGACGGAGGCCTGGTCATCCCTGGAGTGGGAGTGTGAGGTGAGTGTGGGTGGGCTCCTCAGCCTGAGCTCAGTCCGACATCCAGGAGTGACCAGGGCACACCCCTCTGGGCCTCTGTCCAGGCTCTTTGCTGACCTGGCCAGAGCAGGGTATGCTGGGGTGGGAGGGCTGACTTCTTCCTCTGCCAGCCATCTTGGCCTGGCAGTCTTGCCCAGCTTTGTACCTCACATTGACTAATCGTGGTTTTAGGTCATCCACAGTGCTTCTCAACAGCCCATTGTTCTGGTAAATTCAGAAGTCTGCTCTACGCTCAAAATGCTCTGTGGGTGCCCTGGGAGAGCTGGACATTTGAGCCGAGGCTAGTAGCCCATAGGGTACAGCAGCATGGACTGAAGAACAGGACGGCTCAGGCAGGTCTAAACACGAGCGTCACAGTAGGTTTGGGAGTATCCAGATGCCAGGCCAACTGGAAACTTCCCAGAACATCTGCTGGCTCAAGTCCTCCTGAAAAGCCACCGTAAAAGATGCTCTATCTCCCAGCAGCACAGCTCGACTCCTACTCAGCTCTGGGTAACTTCGTCATACAGTTTATGTCCCAAAGAAATGAGAGACAAATGTCTAAATGTCATAGTGTTTACTTTATTTAAATCCTGAGGTTAAAAAATATATTATTTCCACATGGCATGGCAAACACTATAAAATAATATGCTTGGGGATACAAAAGTTTTCCACCCCCACTGTGCAGGTGGGGTGCTGGTACTTGATGTGCTTCTAGATAAATTCTTTGGCAGATAAGAATGAATTGGGGTCCCAGACCCGCCATCCTGTAAGGCCACATGAATTGAGGATTAATCAATTAAAGTGCAATTCCAAATGTTAAGCCTTTCAAATAAGGCTTGGGTGTTGCTGTGCAGCCACCGGAGGCAGAGTGTCTCTGGATAACATATGTCAAGCAGCCGTTTTTTTAAATCAGAGATGCCTCCTAAAAGTTCAAGATATACTTTATTATTTAAAAAGTGCTTAAGAGCAAAGAGAGAATTATTAATTCGGTCTCTCCTGTTTCCTTGGAAGAAATGTAATGAAATGAGAAGAACTTACAGGGTTCCCCTGCAAAGTGCTTTCTCGGTCAATGTTTTGTAAACACGAATGGCTGTCTTTGTGTACATGACCATCCTTGGTTCTAAGCACGCCTTCTCTCTGCTTTAATTCCCAACACCTCTAAGCCACGGACAGTTTCTTGGTCTAAAGAATTCTCACATGTAGAATCACCAAGGTGCACGTTAAAATATGAAACTCCTTTAAAATTTTATCAGTGGACATCCAACCATATCATAAAACACAGGCTCTGTGACTTCATCCTCAAATGGGGATTCCTTTCATTTGGGCCTGGAATAGTTTTACCACCTTAGATGGTAATTTTAAAATTTCTAAAACACCACTTATTCTTGAGTTAGATGATTTGGCTTTTCATTTCTATCTTCCAAATCCTGTGGAGTTTTTCGGTTCCAGTGTCTTTGCCTGCTCTTGGTCCAGTCCACCTGGAGTCCAGTGTGCTGAAGTCAGAAGCACTATGTAGAGTCCACTTGGACCTGGAAGACAATGCTTTGTGCCAAACGTGCTTCCTTGTTTGTGGATAAGTGTGTCTGACAGAGGCTGGCATGTTCTTGAAGGTGGCTTCAGTGGCAGTGATGAAGAAGGCATCTGGTATCGACACTAAGATGTGACTGTTATTCAGAGAGATGGGCCATCAGGAGGCTGCCTTTTTTTTTTTTTTAAGAGTGATCTGGGATCCCAAGGATGCTTCCTTCTTGCCGATTTCTAGTGTAATTCAGTCTAGCCAGGGCTACCACCTGCAGCAGTGGTTCTTCAATTGTTATTTGCATTTTTTAACAAAGTACCCCAGTCCTTAAACCTTAGTAAAGCTGGGAACCTGATTAAAATCAGAATAAAGCTATTTATAAAAGCCACTCTTAAATATGCCAAGATGTTCTGTAGCTGCAGAGAGCACAGCAAACTTGAGCTTGAATAGCAACCTAATAAAATACAAATGTCCACCCAGCACAAAACATAAATTTGCTAATGAAACCACATAGTTAAGAAGTCACCTCGGGGCACGGGGCAGTCCTCCGAATGCAGCAAAGGCTTTTTTTGAACAACAGCAGTCAGCACTGGAGGTGGTGTGCACAAGAGGCCCAGCTCTCCTGGAGGAGTGGTCTAGGTAAGCTGCAACTGGTCCTCTGCTGTGATGAGTGACAGATATTCGGAAAGGACCTCAGATGGAACGTCCCGGGCCCCAAACCCATTAGCTACTCAATGAATGGTGGTTCTTGTTGCATATGGTGCCAGTGACACTTCAGAAGGTTATCAGCTTGGCCAGAATCTCCGCAGTATTCTCAGAAAGCTAAGCACTCAAAGATTCTAGATTGCTCTGGGTTCTCTTTCGTTAGTTTCTTTCTTACAGTGAACGAGCTGACTTCTGATTATCCTTTGCAAGAGGCTGGATGAATTCAAAGTTAGCACAATTCACTATGAATTATCTCAGGCCATGTGTCATGTCTATGAGAACAAATGTGAGGCCAAGAAGAGTCGCTGGGGACCCGGCCATTTTTATTCCAATACTGAGTATGGTCAAAGCCTTGGTCAGGGGAAGATGATTGAGCACCTGAAGGCTTTCTGCCAGAAGAGGCTGTTCCAAGGAAGCCAAATGCAAGAGGCCCAGCTCTTCTCTAGGCAACCTCTTTGAAAGGTTCTATTCTCCATTCCCCGTGACCTGCTTAAACTGACTGGAAGTGCCCAACTCTCCTGTTTAAAGGTCTGAGTCCATTCCAGAAATTACCTCTTACTTGTGGCCCCACAAGAGTCCTCTTTGCTGGTGGTGAGGCTGTGGCTGCTGGTGTGCGGTGGGTTTGGGGTCTCTGCTGGACTTCACCTGGAGTCCCTGACCCATTCTCAAGCCCTCAAAACCAGCCAGACCAGGGTTATGACAAAGTTTGTAGGAAGTGTGTGACTGTACTTGGGTCACAAGGCTAGCGGGAGGAATTGCTGGGCCCAGCTCCCAGATTCTCAGATAGCCTGTTCAGTGTTCTCTCCCTCACCCCTGGCCAAAGTGGGACCTTTTGTCAGATGCTCTGATTACCCGTGGAAGAACCTGGGGCCTGACTGCAGGTAGCTGGTTCTGTGAACAGGGAATGAAGAGCTGTCCAAGGTGAGCTCTCTGTCATGGGGGAAGAAAAGGACCACAGAGAACAGGAAGATTAACTAATTCTTGTGCGGGAACAGGGATCCCTCTGCTTCAAGCGGGGATGTGTCCTGGAGATCAGGTGTGAGCTGAGCAGCAGGAAGTGGGCAAATAGGCTGTAGGGGAACCTGTCAGGTGGGGAGTGGGGCTAGGGATGCATCATGCCTCTGCTTACTCTGTTACTTTGGTTCTTAAGTTACCAAAGACTTTTGTTAAGAAGGCCCTAATGTTTGACAGTGGTTCTAACCCTGGCTATGATTATTAGTAAACACGTCTGCAGGTGGGGCAGAAGCTCTTACTTATTTTTAATTTATTTTTTGAGATGGAGTCGTTCTTGTCACCCAAGCTGGAGTGCATTGGCATGATCTTGGCTCACTGCAACCTCCACCTCCCAGGTTCAAATGATTCTCTTGCCTCAGCCTCCTGAGTAGCTGGGATTACAGGTGCCCACCACCACATCGGCTAATTTTTGTAATTTTAGTAGAGACGGGGTTTTGCCATGATGGTCAGGCTGTCTGAGGTCTCGAACTCCTGACCTCGTGATCCACCCACCTTGGCCTCCCAAAGTGCTGGGATTACGAGCATGAGCCACCGCACCTGGCCAAAGCTCTTATTTATATAAACAAAAGTGGGCCATCAGCTGAGGAGCAGCCCTAAAGCCAATGCACGATTCTGCTCTGTGATCACGGCATCCACACTGGCTGGCATTCGGACATTAGACGTAGTGAACACACAGCCACTGCAGACCCTCAGTATGGTGGGTTTTGTTCTTGGATTATCTTTACTTCTGATTCTTAGGGCAGTGTTTTGAGCTGTGGAGAGGCCTGGCTGAGTGAAGGGCTTTACTTGAGGACAGAATCACCCAGACAAAAGGGCCAGGAAGAGAGTGCAGCTTAGAGGCCCTTTCAACACTGCTGAGTTCTGGAGCAGCCCCCAGCTTACTGGGGCACTGAGGGACAGGAGCGTGACCAGAGGAGGCTGGTCCAGATCTCAGGAGAGTGCCCTGGCACCCTGACTTGCATGATGGCGTGTGTTTCCTTTTCCTGGGAGTACCTGAGGGCCTCATAGCCTGAGGACTCACAGGGCATGGTCAGGGCAACGAGCTCAGGTCTCCAAGATGCAGGGCCCTGGTGGGGCAGGGTAGAAAGTCTCTCCACAGGCAGAAGTTGGGATCACTTCTGCCTGTGAAACCCTCCACAGGAGGCCTGGAGCCAACTGTGCTCCCAGGAGAGGCCGATGGTCTCCTGGGTATTTAAGCCTTTGGCAGAGCATCCCTTTGGATGTTCATGAGAACAGCTGGATAGAGATCTACTACTTAACGGAAACACTGCCTGAGCCCTTCAAAGCATCGGGGGCTAAGAGTGACTGGTGCATCATGCTGAGCACAAAGTGCTTCCCAGACACCACCTCTGAGGGGCAGCCCAGGGGCCTCTCTTCCAGAGGGGCAGAGTTGATGAGTTTGGAGCAGCTGACTTTGTAAAAAAAATGCTTTATGTGACAGGTGAGGAAGAGTAGTGTTTCCTGTGGAAGAAGTGAAGCTACTGAGGTGCTGAAGCTACAGGAAATCACTTCCATCGTAGATCACAGGCCGATCAACCGTCAAGTGATACAATACCTTTTTAGAGACAAACCTAAGGAAACAGAAATGGAAAGGGAGGGCGTTACTTGAGAGCTGAAAGTCCAAGGGGTGGCAGCTGCTGCTGAGGCCTCTGCAGTCACTGAAGTGACCTGGTTGTGTGGGTGCTGGAACTACGTGCCCTGTTTCCTGTCTGTCTAGTGGGGATCTCTCCCTGTGAGGGTCAGAGGGTCTCAGGACATCACCATGGACTCTCCTGAGGCTTGGGTGCAGAAATGCTCTTTTGGTCGCAGGCTGTGAATGTCACCTCCCTCACCTGACTGCTCTGAAGCAGCTAGAGGTGGGGACTGCACAGTGTGTGTACTGGGGTATAAAGAGCAGGCAATGGGAGGAGGCACATGGCGGAGGCCAGCATAGATTTTTTCCGACTTGGCAGCTAACTCAGTTCTGACATCCATAGCTTGGAAATCTCAAGTAGACCCCTGAGATGACCTCAGTGGGCCAAGTTCAGAGTTTGTCACAGCACCATGGCCACCTCCAGGGGTAACTGGGAGCCTGCTTGGGCTTGGGATGGTGCTCTGCCCTCATCACACCTCTCCTCCATCTCTCCATCAATGCGTGGTGTGGCTGCCACTGCAGAGGAGGAAATGGAGACTCAACTAAGGGCCACTGGCGGAAGAGCAGAGCTTGGGCCTGGTGTTCCCCAACCACTGCCCTATCCTGTTCAGGAGGGGCTGGGGTTCATGTCCACTCTTGGGGTGGGGAGTGGCTCCAAAGAGAGCTCTCTGGCCATGCTAGACCTATGCCATGAGGTCCTGCTAACTCCAGGGGTGCTTTCATTTCCACTGGGGAGTGTAGGCAGGAGCAGGAGGGGGTAAGGTGGGAAGTTCATCTTCCATCCCCTCCTGAGGTGGGTGCTCTCGGCCACAAGCCCTGGTAGTTCAAAGCCTGGAGGTGGTGAGGGGATGACACAGTTTTCCTCGGTTATTCTGCTGAGAGCCAAGTACCCATGCTGGGGATGTGACCTGTAGCCCAGGGTCCTGCTCAGAGAGGATGTGGCTGGAAACAGATGAGGCAGGTCTCTCTAAAGAGCCAGCTCCACTTAAGGGGTCTGTGCTGAAGCAGAAGACATAAACAGGGGCAGGTGCCCAGCAATCCTAACCACCCTTGTCCACGCACTTGGCAGATGCTCAGTTAATGTCGGTCCTCTCTCCGCTCCCCTCCCAGCTGTCTCTCTGGACTCAACACCCTCTATTCCCATTCTCCTGCCCAGCCTCTCCGCTATCCCCTAAACTATTCACTCCTGGACCTTAGCTGGTCCTCAGAGTGCTTCCCAGAGATGGCACCTGCCGCTCCCGCCACACTGCTAGGGCCTTTGCCGTGCAGTCTTAGGCAGTCTCTGCTTATCTCAAGCTCTGTCCTTCCTTCTTTCATTTCTCCCTTTCTCATTCATTCATTCAGTCCTTCACCGTATTTTCTAAGCCCCTTCTTTGGGCAAGGCAGTGGCAGGGCAGTGGGAATCAACATCAGAGAGAGGGAAAGGACACCTTGGTTATTAAAGAGTTCAGACTGGCTGGGCCACCTGGTTCAGATTCGGCTCCAGCCCTAGCTGTGTGACTTAGGAGTGTCACACCTCTGACCCTCAGCAGTGACATGGCTGAGACTCCGCAAGCATGAGCCTGTGTGCAACAAAATCTCTTAACCAACATGCAACACCATGGGAGAGGAGTCAACAGTCAAAGAATGATGAATATTAAGTCATCGACAAATAATTGGTTTTGAGTGTCCACCTCTGCTCTTGAGAAGAGGTGGCAGAGAGGCCTGGAGACATGGAGCTGATGCCTGAGGTGGCCCTACCTTGAGAAGGTGTTGTCAAAGATGAGCATGTAGATACCAGGCGTGCGAACCTTGAGCTGGCCCTGGATGTTCTCCTTGTGGGAGTTGCATCGGGTCGTAGGAATGAGGACCTGGGAAGGAAAGCAGATATGCAAAAACATCAGAGACTGAGAGGGCCCTCGGCATCCTCAGGGCAGACCCTTTATTTTGGGGGAGGAGGCTGAGTGTGTTCCCTGAGGTCACAGCCAAGCAGGGCTGGAGCTAGGACCAGCCCCCAGTAGTGGCCAGTGCCATCCCACACCCTGAGTCTGATGATGACTCGTGGCTGTAAGTTTCATCCAGAATCATGACCTGGTCAGCACACTTAAGGAGTGATCCCCTAGCCTTGAACAGAGAAGATGCTAGAACATTCCATGGACTATAAAGGAGAGGCCCCTTTCTGGCTTCAGGATGTGAAGCTTAGTCTAGGTAAGATCCATCTGTCCGGCTGTCTCCTGTTGGTCTTGGTGCTGCCCTTGGGTCTCACAGCACAGGCTGAGTCCTCCTTCCAGTTGACAACCTTCCAGGCACAAAGCTGCTAGGCCCACTCTCCTCTAGGCTCAACACCCCTGGCTCCACCTAGGCCTCTCTGCTAGCTGTGCCCTGGTTGGTCCATGCGCTCCAGCACCCTTTCATCGTCCCATGCCTGAGCCTCAGCCTCAGCCTCCTGTTCACTCTCTGCCTTCCCTGAAAATGAGAAATTAGTCCCAGGAGACATTGATACTGACTTTTTTTCCAGTTCATTTTTGAAGGGCCTCACTGTCAGAGAGAAAATCTGTACAAATGGTATGTGCTGGACAGGGCCAGGGTTGGTGGGGGAGGTCTTTGAATGGCTCACTTCTTCCCCACGAGGGCAGGCTCTTCAATCTGCTTGCAAGCTAATATACAGGCCTCATTTTAAAACTGAAAATATGCTAAGAGATAAGGCAGAGCCAACCAGCCAACCAACCAACATTTTTTTCCTTTTTTTTTTGAGATGGTATCTCACTTCCTTCATCTCTCTCTATCCCCTGTGGGGCCTACAGAGTCCAGTATACAGCAGACACCCAATACATGGTTATCAATAGTTTACAAACACACAGCACAGTTCCTTGTGTCTGTACCTCCATAGTCATGAAGCCTGAGTGCTGCAATTTGCACTGCACCTGTCATTTCCTATACGCCCCAGGCTGGTCAGGAGAGCACCTGGAGGGTCCCTGGGATAGATATTGAGGGCACATGTCTGGAAACAGGCTTCTCTGGCCTTGGTTTCTTTGGGGACCTCAGGCAGAGAAAACAGCCACCCCCATCTGTGGCTGGTGACAGTGGCCTGTGAAGGCAGAGAAGCACCTGAGCACCCTGTACAGGGGCCCCTTCTGCCCCCTGGCGTCACTGTGGGGAAAGGCAGTGGGGCCCCCTGGAAGCTAGAGATGAGGAAGGCTCAGCAGGTCCCCAAGCTCCTGTTTCCTGGTAGACCCACACAGGAACCCCAGGCTGCTGAAGAATTGGGGGGTAGGGACTGAGCAAGGGGAGAGGCCCACAGCCCACCCACACGTGGGCAGGCAGAACAGCAAAGGCCTGGATCCCTGATTTTGTCCCTTCCCTCCCTGCACACTCACGGTGTCTGATCTGGGTGGACTCAGGGCTGGGGGCACGGCAGGGCTGAGGAACGTGAGGGTGAGAGGCAAGGGCAGCTCTTGGCAGCGCTGCCGTTTGTCAGTGTGGAGCTGACAGGCATGCTGGCTGCGCCAGGACCTCCTGATGGAGGCTCAGAATCGCTCAAGAAGGAAGGGCTCCGGAGGCAGGTATGGGGAGCTGGCTGTAAGTCCCAAAAGGATAAGATGGGCAGAGCAGTTTTAAATGAGAGAACACAAGACTCCAATAAGCAAGGCCAACCCAAGGGAGTAGAGTTACATTTTGAGAGTGAGTCTGAAAAGCAGAGAAATAACAAAAGTGATCCTTGCAATGGGCAGATTCCAACAGGGCGGGATGGCAGGAGAGCAAACCCAAATGGGTACTTGTTCCTCTACGGGATGCCAGCACCAGAGAAGGAACTGCTGTGTGGCCCACTGTGCCTCCTAGCTGGGCTCGCCTGCTCTGGGCCTTCCTCATCCCTCAGCCTCACCCAGTAGACCAAACACACAAGGGACGAACAGATGTTCTGCAAAGACTTCACAGATCTCGTTTCACATGACTTCAGCTTGCTTTTCTCTATCTTGATCCTTGCAATTCTTGTGAAATGGAGATTTCTGCAGTCGTATTCCCAGGCTAGGCTTCCCTTTCAGCTCCAGTCCAGCAGGCCCAACTGCTTTTACCATTCCTTCCACTCAGAATAATTCAAGTGGAACTTTTGTTCCCATCCAAACTGGCTCTCCTTCCAATATTGCTCTACACCCTTTCTCTGTAGAGATGCAGGCATGGAATTCAGACCCCAGGCATGGGCCTCCCTCCTCCTTGCCTCGTACTGAATCAGCCACCCATGGAGCCCTGCCCAACCTCTGTCCCTGTGGTCTGGATTCCATCCTTTCTACTCTGGCTTCAACCCCTAATCTACACCAGTGGTTCTCAACTTGGGCCGCTCATTGGAATCACTTGGAGATGCCTGGATCCCACCCCTAGAGACTCTAACTTAGTGGTCAGGGTGTGGCCTCAGGAGTAGAGTTTTTAAAAGCTCTCTAGGTGTTTCTAATTTGCAGCCAAGGTTGAGAACTACAGTCCTGGTACTGTCAACACTCCATGCCTAGAATGTCTTAGGAATTTGTGAATTGATACCTGCCACCAAGATTTCAAGCTCGACCACCCAAGTGACACTGGAGTTGTCTCTGCTGATACCCTTCCAGGTGAGATGCTGAACACCCTAAGCTAAAAACCAGAGGAAGAGAGATGGTGACCCATTCCTGCTTTGCACAGTTCTATTAGAAAATGATCCTTAAATTGAGTCATATGTCTGTATTCCTCTTTCACCTACCCGTCTATCCCAAGGGTAGACTACCTGTGTCTGACAGTGTGACCTTCAGACATTTGAAAACAGCTCTCCAGAACCTCTGGGTCTTTTTCTCCCCAAACTGGACAAGGCCCAGGTTCTCTACCTTCTCTGCATGACACGGCCCAGAACATTCCAGGTGAGGCCTGCCCAGGAGAGGGTAGGATGGCCACTGCCCTGCTTTGGAAAAGGCCTGCCCAAGTACCCAGATGTGTGAAGGAACCCACAGGCAGGGAGCCCAGCCATACCTTACACTCATCCAGTGGTGTGTCCTCGGCCTCCTGGAAGACCACGCTGAAGGAGATGCTCTTGGGGTCGGAGGAGAAGACCCAGCTGATGGTGAGGCCTGCCTCGGTCACAGTGATGGGGATCAGGCTGTAGGTGCTGGACCTCACAAACAGCTCCCTGCTGCCCTCCCCGAAGCTCGCGATCTCTTCCACTGTGAGGGGTACCTTGATCCTAAAATAAAAATACAGAGAAGGACCTGATTGACTGGGCAAAGTGTTTGTGTCCACTGGCCAGGTCATCTGTGGCTCAGAGGTGGCTGGAGACTTCAGAGGCTCTTGAGAGGACAAGCGCCGGGTAACCCTGGCCACATGCTTAAGTATGGGACAGGCAGCTCACTCCAACAAATGTTTCCCGAGTGCTTACTACACGCCTGGCATAGTTCTAGGCACTAAGGACACAGCAGTAAAAAATAGAGATGATATCCTTGCCTGTGTGGAGCTGAAAGCCCACGGGAACTAAGGAATTGAGGATAGCCTGACCCGCTCCACGTCCCTCGTGGACAGGAAGCGAGTGCCGAGGTGCAGCTTTCTGCTGCTCTCTTGAAGGTGCCCTGCTGCTCAGCTGTCTGTTTTCTCTCTGTCATTTCTCCTTCCAATTCCCTGCCTCACCCTTTTCACCTCATCAGCACAAGCCTCCTGCCCTTTAGATATAGTCCCTCTTCTCAGGTGCATCTCGCATCCATTGTAAGATTCCACATGGGCACCCTGACCTTTCCTCAAATGCCAACATCCCATACTCTTTATAATGCAGGGGAGGTGGAAGTGATACAATGATTTTGGGAAGAGAAGCTTGTTCTTACTCTCCCTGGGTAGATAAAAGCTTCTTCAAGAAGTTTACAGGGTTCACTGACAGTGAGTTCCTCTCTGCTGGACCCAGAGTATGACATGAGGAATGTGAGGTGAGTGGCCAAACTGCATCCCTGCTGCAGGGCGTACCCTTTCATAAGCCTCAGTTTCCTCATCTGCCAAACAGGACAACCAGGCCTGCCTCAAGACTGCTGCAGGCCTAGATTATAAGATGAACCCAGGGAGCTTGCTCCTCGGGGCCCCTTCCAGACAGAGTGGTACCCCTCCTACACTGTGCAACTCCCAAGGCAGGTAGGTTAGTTACCAATCATGGAGACAGGGCCTCCAGGGCAGAACTGCAACTTAGGAGCGGTGTGGCCTTGGGTGAGTCAACTCACTCTGAGCCTCAGTTTCTCAACTGTGAAATGGGAAGGTGGCAGCCACCATAGGCCATGCCCTATGCTCAACAATTTCACGTGTTACTGCACTGGCTCCGTGAGGAAGGCATCACTGTTGCCATTCTACAGAAGAGGAAACTAAGATGCAAACAGATTAAGAAATTCAGTCCAGGCTCACACAGGTCTGAGCCAAAGCCATCATCTTTCTACCATACCAACTGCCTTTGTGGAGAAAATGTATTACTGTCCCCTTTGACACAGGGGCGGGAACTCAAGTTCAAAGAGGTTAGGGAACTTGCCCAAGACTGTACAGCAAATGGTGGTGCTGAGGGCTCATCTGCCTCCAAAGCTGTGGAGATGAATGGACAGACTCCCCAAAGCTAATGAGAAGGGCAAGAAACGATTTCAAAACCAGAATCTTTAAAGAACAGCTCCAATACTCACCTTTGGGACAATTCAATTCAACATAATACGTCTCTGTGTGCTAGGTTTTATTTCTGATTAAGAGCCCTCGACCAATATTTACAATTTTCAAGAATCTGAGGGCGGGCGCGGGGGTCCATTCTGGAAAAGACACCTTTCTCATAATGTGGAAATCTTACCATATTACCACAAAAAAAGTCATTTACTTGATATCATGCCCCATTGATGCTAGAGCATTTTACAATTTTATGCTCCAGAATTTTCCCCTGGCATCCAGGTATTTGGATTGTACCCCAATCATGTATTCTAGACATCATCTATTCAGTGACAAGGACAATACTCAGCCTCTCCAAAGGAGAGCTTAACAAAAACAAATCAAGTGTTTGCTCCAATATAATGTAATCTTAAGACGCCTATTGTCCATAAGGCTCATGTCACAAATGTGAAAAGGATTTGCCTTGGATCTGTGTGTTCTAATTATTCCTTTTTGTAATTTCCTTTTTTTTTTTTTTTTTGCTTACCAAAATCAGGTGGGATGTGTTCTAATTATTCTAACTCTCCTAACTTTCCTCATCCCTTTACTTGAGGGCAGGTTTTTAAAAAGTTTTATTATACATGATTTCAAACATCTCCCTGTTCTTTCCCATTAACTGCCACTAAAAACCTGAAAATACTGATTCAGCAGTTGCAGTAAAAGTGAAGGGCAGGAGAAGGAAGGCGGAGTGACTGAGGACCCCCAGAACACGAGGAAAATCACAACAGCTTAGCATCTCTGAGCCCCTCACCTACACATCACAAGAAGACACTCGTTATCCTAAGAGCCAGGAAAATCACAGCGTACATGAGGAAGGACAATCGACAGAAGCCGAGACTGACGTCAATCAGATGCTGGATTTATCTGTCAAGGCTTTTAAAGCAGCCATGATAAAATGCTTCAACAACAATTTTAAATGTTCTTGAAACAATAAAAAAAGTAGAAAAACCACACGAAAGAAACAGAAGATATAAAAAAGAACCAAATGGAAATTTTAGAACTAAATAATTATAATAACTAAAGTTAAAAAAATCACTGGATACTCAATAGCTGAATGAAGATGACAGTTATACTTGAAGAGAGAAAAACAGAAATTCCTCAATCTGAACAACACAGGAAAAAGTGAATTGGGAGGCGGGGTGCCAGGAAAAAGAAGAGTCTCAGAGACCTGTGAGACAAGGACGAAAGATCTCACATTTGTGTCACTGGCGCCCCAAATGGAGAGGGAAAATAGAGTGCATCTGAAAACTATTCGAAATATTCAAAAATATTTTCCAAATATGGCAACAGGCGTAAGCCTAGAGATTTGAGAGCTGAGTGTACCCCAAATAGGGAAAACCCAAAGAAATTCACACCAAGCCCCATCATAATTAAGCTTCTAAGAACAAAAGACAAAGAACATATGTGTGCATGTGTCTTAATAACAGAATGATTTATAACCCTTTGGGTTTATTATACCCAGTAATGGGACTGCCGGGTCAAATAGTATTTCTATTTCTAGGTCCTTGAGGAATCGCCACACTGTCTTCCACAATGGTTGAACTAACTTACACTCCCACCAAGAGTGTAAAAGTGTTCCCATTTCTCCACATCCTTTCCAGCATCTGTTGTCTCCAGATTTTCTAATGGTCGCCATTCTAACTGGCGTGAGATGGTATCTCAATGTAGTTTTGATTTGCATTTCTATAATGACCAGTGATGATGAGCTTTTTTTCATATGGTTGTTGGCCTCATGTATGTCTTCTTTTGAAAAGTGTCTATTCATATCCTTCACCCACTTTTTGATGAGGTTTTTTTTCTTGTAAATTTATTTAAGTCCTTTGTAGATTCTAGATGTTACCCCTTTGTCAGACGGGTAGATCGCAAAATTTTTTTCCCATTCTGTTGGTTGCCAGTTCACTCCAATGATAGTTTCTTTTGCTGTGCAGAAGCTCTTTAGTTTAATTAGATCCCATTTGTCTATTTTGACTTTTGTTGCCATTGCTTTTGGTGTTTTAGTCATGAACTCTTTGCCCAAATGTCCTTTGCAGGGACATGGATAAAGCTGGAAACCATCGTTCTCAGCAAACTGACACAAGAACAGAAAACCGAACATCGCATGTTCTCACTCATAAGTGGGTGTTGAACAATGAGAACACATGGACACAGGGAGGGGAACATCACACACTGGGGCCTGTCGGGGAGTGGGGGGCTAAGGGAGGGTTGGAAGGGAGTGGGGAGTTAGGATAGCATTAGGAGAAATACCTAATGTAGATGATGGGGTGATGGATGCAGCAAACCACCATAGCATGTGTATACCTATGTAACAAACCTGCACATTCTGCACATGTACCCCAGGACTTAAAGTATAATAAAATAATAAACAATTAAAAAGTTAAAAAAAAATTAAAAAGACAAACAAAAAGCTTGAAAGCAGGTAGAGAGAAATAACATTATCTATGGGGGAATAGCAATTTGAGTGACAGGGGACTTCTCATTTAAAACCATGGAGGCCAGAGGAGGTAGCGGCACATATATTTCAAATGCTGAAAGAAAAGAACTGTCAACTGTGAATTCTGTATCTGGCAAAACATCCTTTAGACATTTTGTCAAATCCAGCAGTGTGTGAAAAGAATTATACACCACGGCCAGTGGGATTTACCCCAGGTACGCAGGCTGGTTCAATATCTGAAAGTCAACCAATGCAATCCATCATATCAACAAGCTAAGGAAGAAAAAGCCTATGATCTTATCAACTGACACAGAAAAAATCTGACAAAATTCAACGGCCATTCACAACCATTCAAGTTCTCTTTCACTATTTCTAATTGTCACTGCTGTGAATAGCATGCAAGGGACATTTTGGTAGCTTTATCTTTGCACATCTAGTCATTATTTCCCAGATGTAGGCTTATTACATCACAGAGAAAATGCAATTCTTGAACTTTTGGTACATCCTGCAGCCAAGATGCTCTCCAGAAAGGGTGGCCCTGACACTTCATACTCCCCAGAATCAAAGGCTTGTGAGGGGGCTACTTAATTCTTCCTGCTCGGTCTACCCCATAATTCAACATAGCATCTGTCCGAGTGTGGTCCAGGGTCACCTGAGAACTGCTGGAATGCGTTATCTATTCTCTCACAACCACATCAAACCCTTCAGGAAATTCTGTCTGCACCACCTTCAAAATAGGCCCAGAATTTGCCCTTGTCCTCTCTGCCAACACTTGGTCCAAGGAACAAGGATTCCTCTAATACCCTCCCAACTGTTCTCCCCTCTTCTGCTCTTGCCCCTCCATCATCTATTCTCCACATGGTAACCAGAATGATCCTTTTTCATACATAAATTAGGCTGAATCACTCTTAATGCTACAAACCTCATTTGGGGGGTCCCATTTCCCTCTGATTCAAAGTCAAAGTCCTTACAATGGCCAACAAGGCCCTGTGTGCTGAGACCCTCATTCCCACTCTGAATCCGCCTCCTGCTTCTCTCTGCTGCAGGCACACTGGCCCTTTTCTCAGTCCCTGAACATGCCAGATGCCAAGCACCATGTCAGGGCCTTTGTGCTGCCTGTTCCCTCTGCCTGAAATGCTATTCCCTCAGATATATGCCTGGCAACTCCTTCGCCTCCTTCAAGTCTTATCTTCTCAGTGTCACTCTATTTAAAATGGCAAATTCCCCTTCCCTGTCATCCTACTTTACCTTTTTCCTAGCAAGCACCACCTTGTAACAATGATACAATATTGACTTACTTAATTACGTGTATAGTTTATCGTCTGTCAACTCTTGCTGGAATGTAAGCTCGATGAGGGTTAGGGGTGGGTCTTTGTTGGTTTTGTTTACTGACATACTCTAAGCACTTAAAACAGTACCTGGTACATCATAGCTAATGAATAAGTATCTGTGAATGAATGATTGAATCTATTCAATGACAATTATGCAGCCAGTGGACATAACACTAAAGAACTCGATGACAGGGAAAAATACGCTATAGCAAATTTTAAGAGACTACAAAATAAGATTTAGAATATTTGTTTTGTGTTAAAAATTATATGTATGCATGTGTATAAAAAAGACTGGAAGGCTATATGCCAAAATGTTTTGCTTATCTCTATTTTCCTCATTTTTTACAATGTAAGTGTTTTGCTCATACAATAAGAAAATTAACAAAGTTATTTTGAAAAAAGAACATGGGGTGTGGGAGGAATAATTACAAAGGGGCATGGGGAACTTTCCAGGGTGAGGGAACTGTTCTATATCTTAACTGTGGTAGTGATTACACTGTATCATTCATCAAAATTCAGGCACTGTATACTTGCTTGAATCTTAATGTATATACGCTATACCTGAAGAAAAAGAATAAACTGAAGCCCCACTGGTCCAAGTCAGAGCCCCCGAGGTGGTCCCCAGTGCTGGCACTGGAGAGGCCAGTGCTCCTCCAACGCCAATGTGGGAGGGCCCAGGCAGCACCTGCCACTTACATTAGTTCTCCAGACTTCAGCAGGCAGATTTCCGCATCCTGCCCCACGGGCATGTCTTCAGTGTCCTCAGGAGTTAGCGAGGTTGATGTAGTGTCCCTGAAATGCCACAAATGAGAACACAGACATTTAGCTATCAACACAAAGGGTCTCACATCCTGGGGTCCAGAGCCTTGGAGTCATGTAGCCAAATCCAGATGCATGGAGAATCCTTTAGTCGCAGAGGCCCTGACAGAGGCCCCAGCAGATTTTGTGAGTAGAGGGAGGGCCGCAGGGGCCAGGGCCAAGCAAGCGGACAGTGAGAAGACAATAGGGCTACAGCAGTTTCCCTGGAGCAGCTGTGGGGAAGAGACTTCCTGCTGTAGAGAGGGTGAGTGGAAACACAAATCAGCCACTCTCCTAGCCCACGCCAGCAGAGCTATTGCCACGGGGCCAAGGTAGCAGCACCACTGGGTCCTGCCTTCCCATTGAAAAGCCTCTGGCCCATCCCTGAGGCACAAGAACAGGCACCCAGGGGAGGTTTTTAACACTGTCTCAATTACTGATCCTTAGAACATATTGGCAGATTGCAGTCCCTGCACTTTACTGATGGGGACACAGATGCCCAGGCAGTTCCTCAGAGGCAGGGCTGGAGCCAGAACTAGACCCTGACAGCAACTTAGTGCTCTCCCTGTGGGACCCCAGGCTCAGCTCAGCCAGGGGCTTATACAGTCCCAGGTGCCTCAGGGCCCAACCAGCTCCACTCCCCAGTTCTGACAAAGAGGAAACCTAGTTCCAAAACAAAGGCTCGCCCTCCTGTGCCAGCATTAATGAGGAAGATCTCCCACTCAGTGTGGCTTCTTTTCAAAATGCTGAAACAATCCATGTTCTTCCAGGAGCTGAATGCCACTAGCCCTGAGCAGTGGGGGGGGGGGCTCTGTCTAGCTGGAGGTCTCTGTGGCCCCCGAGGGCAGGGAAGGTGGTATGACTGTGGTGGGGTCCATCATGGTTTCAGCTTCAGCACTGTGATTAACTGTGACTCATGGTGAGCGCTTTCCTCCTGAGACCCCAGTTTCCCTTCTCTAAATGGAAGGAGATGGAACTAGATAGACTCTGGGTTCTGATGTCTTGAAAAGGCTGTACGTTTTAAAGGACTCCGAGGTAGCATTTTATGGAGCCCACTGACTGAGAAAGAGGTGGGCTTGCTCTGGTAAGCAGCTTCCTGCCTGCAGCCTCCGGTGCTCTTCTCAGGGAAGGTGCAGGAAGAACACGGGCTGCAGCACCTGCTGCCACCGGGGGCATGCTTTGTTACTTTGGTGTTTCTTTTTCTCCCTGGCCCCAGCCCCCCTCTCTGTCCTCCTCCTTGCCTCACACCTCCTTCTTTTTGCTTTTCCAGCTACTGGTTTCCAGGCCCCCACCCTCACCCTGGGACGAACAGAAACAGGGAACATCAGTGCAACCACCCACTCGATAACAGGGAAGCAGAGGTCCAGAGCAGACAGGCCAGGGTCACTCAGGCCTGCTTTCATCCTTGTCCAAGGCAAATACCATAAACGAGATAAAGCAATAATGTAGGATGAGAGAGACTGAAAGCTGTAGTTGGTTCTCCCAATTTTCCTGCATTCAGGATAAAAGATATCCTAACATATGATCCTCTCTCTTCATCCATCACTCTCCTCCCTGACCACAGGGATGACGGACAAGTAAGATGATTCACAGAGCAGGTTTCCCAGTCCTTTGCTGGCCCTGGCGGACGCGCTACATGAGTGATGTGGGAGTGAGATGGGTGGGTGATGCAGTCTCAAAGGTAACAATTAGGGCAGAGGGCTTTCTTCTCAATAGGGTTTCAAACTGCAGGTCACGATCCATTTATTGGGCCGTGAATCAATTTAGTAGGTTATGACCAACATTTAGAATAAAATAGAAAATACGATAGTATATTGCATGTTACGAGGGTAAGTACTTATGAGGCCTGCTTTGACCGAATGTGTACACACATGCACACTAGGTAGCCACGTAAGATGTATTTCTTACTGTGAGATGCCCTAGAAAATGTTCCAGCAACTCAGAGAATGCCAAGGGATTTAAGAGCTTGAGAAGGATGGCAACCAAAGCATGATCACTAGAGGGCGCCCCACCTCCTACTAGAGCTGCTTCCTCTCCCTGCTATCTAGGCAGAATCAGCAAAGATAACAGATACTCACTGCCCACGCAGCCTTCCTCCTCCCCTTGCTCTGGTCATGGCAGCCTACTGCTAGCTTGGCTGATGGCATGCCACCCTTTCCTTCTCAGTTTCTGCCAGGAGCTGTGGTCAGTGGAGCTGAATATCTCTCGAGCACATATTCCAGTCTGTCAACATAAACCCAGGAACGCCCGGGCAGCTTGCTGTGCACACAGGCCACGCCTAGTGAATGTCTACATTATTTGTCTCAGAGTAAGGTTTTCTTCTGTCCCTAATGCTCCCAAAGGAGGACATACCCAAGGCTTCCGCATTAGGAGCGAGTCAGGATAAAGTGTTGAGCACAAACCAGGCAGTCCCCGGCACTGCAGTCCTAGAGTCCACACCTCTCTGTGTGAGTGGAGCCTCTCCAGCTTGGTCTCTACAAATGGAGTCTATAGTCCTTCCCTGTCACAAACCAAATGGCCTCAGCCTGCTTGTTATGTGATTACCACACAACTTTAATCCTGCAGACTGCCTGCGGTACAGATCTTCTGCTTATTTAGAAACTAGAAGAGGGAGGAACGGATGCCTGGAAAACCCCTAGGGCCCAAGGTGCCTTGCTGCCAATCTTCCCCAGAGGGCGCCATCTCCCCTCAGCCTTGCTAAGCCCGGCAGAGTGAGGAGTGTTGCTTTTTCTGATTACGTGGGCTCCTCTTGTCCCTCTGGTCAGCCTCCATCTGTGAACAGTCTCCCGTGAAGTGGAGGTGACTTCAGTTTAGAACTACTCTTCAATACAATAGCCACTAGCCATATGTGGTTATATAAACTTAAATTCATGTATTAAACTAAACATTTGGCTCCTTGGTTGCACTAGCCACATTTCAAGTGCTCAGTTATCAATCTGGACTGGTCGCCACTGTGGTCAGTGTGGGTACAGCACGGGCCTCTCACAGCAGAAGGCTCCACTCACCAGAGAAGGTTTGGAAGGTTGGGCTGAACCATACCACACACATCACATTCACTCTGTGATCTGGGGGCATCTTTTAATTTTGCTATCGATTTATTATTATTGTATTAACTTGATTCTACTTTGCTAATCCATTGCTTATAAATTCCTAGTGTTAAGAGTAGATAGCTAGGCAGACATGAGCAGGGCAAGAGAGGGCCTCCCTCCCCCAGGAATGTCAGGTGACCATCAAGTAATGGTCGGGCAATTGTTAAACTGTCTCTAAAATAACTGGTTGCAGCCAGAGCCAGAGAAAGAGTCTTCCAATAGATAGAAAACATCTGAAGTTGGTAATCAGCAGCTTGCTAGTAAGATCTCAGGAGCTGGCCAGGTGGGCACAAGCATGAACCCCAACAGGCAAAATGGCAGAGTTTAACCAGTCCTCTAGAAACATTCAACTGATAAGGGAAAAGCACCTCAGGTGAGCATGCATACAACTCCAGTAAACACACTAAGCATGCAGCCCCTAGTGCTGGCAAGCCACCAGGCTGCAGAGAGCTCGCTCCAAGGGAAGGGTCGAAGGAGAAGAAACACAAGCCTAGCATGGAACCATGCCAGTGTACAAGAACCTCAACTCAAGGGCTGGACCGGGCACTTGGATCTCTCAGGTCACCGGCTTCGCCCTCTTCCAAGTATACTTTACTTCCATTTGTTCCTGCTCTAAAACTTGCCTCAGTCTCTCCCTCTGCTTTAAACTTACTTTTGCCCCTTGGCCAAATTCTTTCCTCCAAGGAGGCAAGACTCAAGTTGCTGCAGACCCGCATGGATTTGCTGCTGCTAACATACTTTGGTGCCCGTGACTCAGATACGTAATTCCTAGTGGTAAGACACTTCTACACCTCACCTTCTTCCGCTGGAGGTGGTCAACCTCTATACGCGGATTCCTTCTCCTAGTCTCCTGCTTATTGACAACCCCCACAATAATACCTCTCAGCCATAGTAGCTCTGCTCCCGCCAGAGCAGTAAATGTCTCGTCTGAATCCTGGAACAGATAACTTAGCAGCTCGGCAATGTTCGGGAAAGGAGAGCAGGCCAACAGCCTGACCTCCAGGATAAATCTGCAGCAGGTATGTCTGTGCTTCCCTTTTATTCTTCCCCCAATTTTATTTAGAAAATGTTTAGGTATTTCTGGGGAAATCTAAGACACATATGATTGGGTACTGACCCTTAAAAAGTTTAAAGTTTTGTTTCAAATAAAAGTAATGACCTTTAAACAATTAACACTACAAACTGGCAGACAATAAAAGGCATTTTGTAAAGTAAATAAAAGACATTTTGTAAAATAAAATTTTAGCCCCAAACCTGTGAGTAGCTGAGCTCCTCAAATTGATTTGCTAGTCTTTTGTACTACAGGGAAGTTTCCATTAAAGAATGGCCATGATAAACAAGCCATCCTTTCTCAAACACACATATTTCCATATTCACATGTATACACAGTCATGGAGGGCTCTAGGTGCCAGCCTGTTTTCCCCATGGAGTAGAAAAGCTTGCTAAGAATAGCATGGCCAAGGGCATCTGACGAGGCTCAGGCCATTCTAATTCTGCTCTATAGACCTGTCTTGAATGGCATGGTTGACTTGTACCCGGGTAAAACTCAGCCCTCAAAGCTTAAAGATTCCTAAATATTAGGCAGGGTTACTTTAAATTGCCATCCTGCCTTGAAAGGTCTCTTTCAGAAAGGCAGGGCTCTATTTGGCTTAGTCTATTCCTTTTTCATTCATTCACCACTCCCTGCATCCATCTGTCCATTGGTATGCAGTCTAGGCAGCCTCATGGTTCATGCCCATAAGGAATACCTCACTCATTTGTACTAGTTTGGTAGAAAGGATAGTCTGACCTAATTCATTCAAAAAATGCCTGCAAACCTACTAGAGGTCTTCACATCTATTATCACAGCTCCATACACAGAGCAGAACAGGAAGCATTGGCTTTACAGCCGGACAGTCCTAGGTG